CTTGAAATACCGAGGATCACATTAAAGTAGACAAGGCTAATCAATGCTGATGAAGCCGGTGATGACGACATACCAACCGTGGAAGAAGATAAGGAGGCCGTTAAGGCCCTCAACGCACGCAATAAGAAATGAAAGAAGATGAAGTACAAGCAGTCTCCGATCGAGGAAGAGATATTGGCCCTTGAAGAGATCGTGAAGAAGAGTTAAGCGAAACCTGCTCGAAAGGTGGCCCCTACAACGGTTTCTTGAGCGCTGACCCCAAAGATTTACACGTCAGTCGTCACGCCACCAATAGTGAAAACAGCTGTACGAATTCAAACACACGGAGTAAAATTTGAGGAGAATTGCGAGTCGATGAAGGATAGAATCTCAGGCCTGATAATTAACAGAATAAGATAGATTCATGATGGAAGGGAGAGACCACTAGCAAATAAAGATGGACATAAAAAGGGTTGATCGTTCTAAGCCTCCCCTCAGAGGCCTTGTAGAAGCAAGTTGTTCGACATGGCATCGAGTGTCACGGAATGGGGTCGTGATATAAACAATCGAACAAAGTTAACGAAGTCTATTCTGATTATCTAAAACAATGATATTAAGAAGATATTTCTACAGAAAAAACATCATCATTTGGTCAAAAGCGGCACAACGTTCCACGAACGTCATTTCATCGTTTCGTTAATTGCTACTATCTTAATCGAACCTTATTATCCGATTCCCCGATTTTTTCGCGCTGCGCTTCGGCATGGTGGATTGGGGAACCAGAAATGTCGTTTTCACGGCTGGAAAAAATTTCACGGCACCACCTAAGCCCCCAACGGATAGCGGAACAGCCGCAATTATGGCTGTAGATTCTCTCGCGACATCTACAGGCGTTAACATGGATAACCCGAAATCAATAGGGCATTTTCTAAACAAGGTTCGCGACAGACTGGTCATAGCAGGTACTAACCCAACAGCGACACCGATGGCGGAGGTAGATGGGGCTATTGACGCCCTCAAGTCGCACGCATTGTCTCTACAATCGACAATGAAAGCGACACCAATGGAAGAAAGGATGCTGGCCTTAGAGAAGGCAGTAACGAAGAGTCTCGAGGAGCCTGTGCGCAAGACTGCTCCTCAGTCGACACAAGGAATGGGAGGTCGACCCACTTACGCTTCAGTCGTCGCACCTCCAGCGACTAAAGCGGCAGTACGAATTAGGATACAAGGAGCGGACAAGATGCAGCCGGCAGAGCTGCTAAACAAGGCAAAAACACAGATGGAGGGGGCATACGCCGTAAGGCAGTTAAGGAGTAACGACACTGAGGTGTTCGTGCAGTCGATCTCCCAGCGAGACGCTGCCCTGAATATGGCTCAGCCAAAGGAGTTCTGCGTCTTGAAGCAGGATTATCCTGTTGAAATTTTGGGAGTCCCATTGGGGACAATGATACATGGAGGAAAAAATGCTGACAACGGTAGAATTATATATCAAATAAAAACGGAGACAAATATTCGGATTCCTGGAATCCAAATTAACAGGTTAAGATGGCTCTACGACGGAAAGGAGCACTAATGGATGAGGAAAAATGGCCATACTCGAGGGTCGGTGATCGCTAGCCTGCCGACAGAGGCTCTTCAACGCGAGGTGATACGAAACGGCATTGTACTCAATTCAATGCTGTACACGGTCCAGCTCTGGTCACCCCGAGCACAAGTTAAGCAGTGCTCCAACTGCAGTCAATGGGGGCATACTCAAGCCTCGTGCAATAGGGCGAAAAGATGTGGTGAGTGCGCGGGCACTCACCAGACTAGAGACTGCCCGAGGAAGTCGGTGCTTTGCTGCAACTGCGGAAAAGCCCATAAATCGTGGCAGAAGGGGGCGTGTCCAAACTTCGCGTCCTACAAGGTTAGTGTCCAGAGGGCACGGTATGGACTTTTGGAAAGAACGGCAGATCTAAGAAGGGAGGAACTAACAGCAGCGGCCACTCCAATATCTACAGCGGTAAAACAAGTAGGCAACCAAGGGTTTACACTGGTGTCCAACCAGAAAGCAGAGGTCGGAAAGAGAGGGCCAGGGCGCCCGCGGAAAAATCCCATGGCCACAGCCCCAACTACACATCAATTTGCGCCATCGGGGTCGAACTCAAGACCACAGTCATCACTTTTCGGCACGCGAGGGCAGGGAAAGGATGGCGAGGTCACCAATAATTTTAGCTAGTTCTGTCTCGGACTAACGGCATATTGCGCTTCCTGTAGGTTAACGAAGTACTACAGTAATAGTTTGAAGGAGAAGGGGGTTTTTATCGGAAGGTTTCCCCCTCATGTAAAATACCTACAAGTGGAGTTTATAGCCACCTGCATGGGCGCATAGGGCGCCAAATCAGGTTAATGAAATCAAAATCAAATTTCAAGATGTTTCTACAGTGTATTTAAGAGTTTTCAGTACAATGACAATTTACCGGGGTAATGCTAGTGTTACCTAAGATCGACATTACTTAAGTGGGTCTCCAGACCTTATTTGGGGAATCTATCTTGGTAGACTTGAGTCCGTAACATCGAGCACGATGCCATACTGTATATAACACAGGCGTGGTCTGCCAGGGCTCAAGTGAAGCAGTATTACAACTGTAGCTATTCGCGGCACACTCAAGCGTCATACGGAAAGGCTGCCTGGTATAGTGAGTGCGTTGGGGCTTACCAGACTCGGGACTGTCCGAGGAAAATGGCTCCTTGCGTCAACTGCGGGGAGGAACACTGTTCATGGAAGAGTACAGCATGTCGAACCCTTCAGACCAACAAGGGGAGCGTTCAGAAAGCCCTTCTTCCGCTCCTAGGAAGGACAGCTAATATCCGACAAGAAAAGTTTTATTTAGCGGCAGTACAACCAATAGCGAAAACTACTGATGATCAGGGATTTACTTTGGTTACCAGCAAAAAGGGAAATGCACCAAGGAGGGGGATGGGGCGACCTCGAAAGAAAGTCTCAACCCGAGCAGCTACATCTAGCGTGTCGATGGAGGCACAACTATCCGGACCCTCTCTAAGAACGCTCCGAAGACTGGGGCGTAACGAGGATGTCCCATCATTTTTCAACTTCAACTAAGCTATTACTTGTCAATGGGAAAGTTAAAGTAGCTCATATAAAAAACCGAAAGATACGGTGCAGAGTAAAACTTCGGTATTAAACTGGGCTGTACCATTATGGCGGATCTTTCGGGGTTTGTTGCTTTAAAGCTTTTTCCCTGTATGATACGGCCATTCGGTTCATGGACCTGTAATTAGAAACCGAATGAGATAATAAACAAGATTATTTATATACATCTAAGAATATGCAGGTCCCCTCTACCTACAGGCCAAGAATACCTATACAATAGTATATCCCCTCCTATGCCTCCCGTATAGTTCCCCTCAAATAGTACCGCCCCTCACAAGTCCTCATTTGATCATACACTTAGAGGAGCACTAAGACCTTCATTATCTCCAGCCAACGAAATGATGGCCATTTTCAAGTGTATGGCAGCCGGGGAAAATCACAAAAAACCACTGGGTGCGGGCCTCTTCTAGAACCGACATTAGGACTAAATCCGAAGACATAGTGACCCTTCTGAAGCGTTTGAAGAGGTCAGCCAGCTGGGTGCTGCAGACTCGTGTGTACCTCAGGGAATTCACTCTCTGCCTTTCTAGCCTCCTTCCAACCCTCTTGTTGTGAGCGAAAAATTGGCGCTGTTTGGGTCTTGATTCTTCGCCTCGTGTAGCGACCAAAGTACTGCGAAAGTTGCCTTGTCTTAGCTCTGGTGGAGTATCAAATTCCCATGTGAGTATTGTGTACCTTACAATTAGACCTAAAAGTCTGCCACTTGCATAAAGTTAGTAAATTCGATACAAATCAAGATTTTGGATTGAATGGGTCTGGTTTTTTCGTGAATAAAATTCAGCACCTGTCAGTGGTGTCCCCTACGAACCTCCAGCTCTCACACCACAGTCTGCAGAGCCGAGATTTATTAACAAATTCCTCACTTCGACGAAGATTCCCAATCGCTTTCGCCGTCTGTATCGTCTTCATCTCTCAACACATCCTCGTATCACCATTTTCATGAAGCTAGCCACGATCAGATCAGGTGTTAGGATCATAGCTCTACTCATGACCAATCATTGATCATGGAGAAAAAGCCATCCGATCAGTTTCCGGAGCATACCCAGCACCCGATACGGAAATGGCGGATTGGATGAAGTCGGCCTCGAATGTTACAAAGAAGGGAGATATAGATGAATATGCGCATCTCATGTGGTCCTGGTGTCTAGGCCTCGTCTGGCTGGGGCTGCAGGATTTTTGAGTCTTTTTCCCGCGCACGCAGTTTCCACTGCTACCTTTTTATTTTTTATTTTTTTTGGGTAGAATGTTCCGTGGAAGAGGTGGCCGAATTCCACGGGTAAACACTGAGCTGAATGGATATTAGATTAGATCAGGTTAGACTTAAAATAGTCCTAACCGAGTCTATAACTATGGAGAACTTCTAGAATCTAAATGATAGAACCTAACTACATTTGATTTATTTAACCATAATAACTTTGAATTATTTTCTTGTCTACAGTGAGGAACTAGTTGTGTAAATGGCAATTCTTTATGGGCATTATTACAAATATCGTTTTTTAGAGAAAGAGAGTAGGAGCGGCGTAAAGTGTATGGCCTCGGTCTGAGAAGAGCTTAATATTCAATATAAACATTGATTATTGATGCGCGATGAAAGCCGATCCAACCAGTTTACTTCCTTCAAACCTTCAGCTTTGGCGCCTTATGTTCGGCGCGGGACATATTGACACGTGATCTGGCATGTCTGACAACCTTTTAGATATGCACCAACGTCACTATCGCAGAGATAATGCGAAACCGGGAACATAAATATAATAATACCTACTGCTAGCAGTTTGTTTACGTTAACTAGAAATTCATTTAAAACTGTTCTACAAAGAAGATTAAAAGCTATAGCAAAGAGAAGTTCTCGCGCACCGAATATAACATTATGCCAGGCTTTGACTTCTCCAATCATACTCGGAATGCCGCCTTACACGCAAAAGGCTTACCACTTCCTAAAGCTACGAGTACTGGAACTACTATTGTTGGATGCATTTTCGATGAAGGCGTTGTGGTAGGTGGAAATCAAGAGAGTTTTCTTTTCTACTCCCAAATGACTAAATTACGTTCTGAGGATAATACATCTCTACCATTCAATGTTTCGCTCAATGAATTATAGCTGATCAAATTCTAGATAGCTGCGGATACTAGGGCAACGAGTGGACCTATAGTAGCTGATAAGGTATTACACAACATCTTTGCTCAGCTTGATGAATGCTAAGAATGAACTACAACAGAATTGCGAGAAGCTTCACTACATTGCTCCTCAGATTTGGTGTGCAGGCGCCGGTACAGCGGCAGATACAGAGTTTACAACCGCCCTAATATCCAGCCAACTTGAGCTTCATTCTCTCTCTACTGGTCGCAAGCCACGCGTCGTCACATGTATGACTATGCTTAAACAGCATCTCTTCAAGTACCAAGGCCATATTGGCGCTTATCTCGTTATTGCTGGGGTTGACCCAACAGGAATCGGTCTTTTTAGTGTACATGCCCATGGAAGCACTGATAAGCTCCCGTATATAACCATGGGTAGTGGTTCTCTAGCAGCTATGTCAGTCTTCGAAACACAATGGAAACAAGGAATGACAGAGGAAGAAGCCGTGAGTTTGGCGTCGAATGCGATCCAGGCTGGTATCTTCAACGACCTGGGATCTGGCTCAAATGTTGATGTGGCAATCATCAAGAAAGATATGACAACTCTGAAGCGTGGCTTTATAAAACCGAATGAGAGAAGTAAAAAGCAGAAAAGTTATGTCTTCAAGAGAGGAACCACAGCTATCCTGAATGAAAAAGTTATAGCCCGGGAGGAAATGGGTAAGTACATCACGATTCATGAATTAGGTGGTACAGATGCGGCACCTGGGGAAAAAATGGATCTTGATTCTTAGAGAAAACGAGTTTCATATTGCTAGGTACCAAAATCTGTGCCTATCGGTCGCCAAAAGATTCTTTTGATCAAATCACTAGGTGTTATGAAAATTAGTTTGAGCTGTATGCTGGTATACGTAGAATATTTGCTGGCCTGGGAAAACATAAACGATAAGAGCTAGACCGTAAAAAATTATCAATCATAATCCAAGAATGCTCGGCTGGAGATATTATAGAAATGTTTATTGGCTAATGCCTTTCTGCTGATATCTTCGTCGAAGAGAACTAGGATCAATCCCTCTACATCTAAATTGAAACTAGATCATTGATCTATAGGTATAGCATCAAGGCTAAGTCACAATACGTTTCCTTTATTTGCCCTTCCCAACTAGATAATGTTTCAGCCAATTTCACAAGGATTATTGAAGTAACTCTCTCCGATCAATCAGCAGTACGGTCATCGAAAGTGAAATAACTTGAGTAATAATCCTTTTCAGGAATATGTCTCAATTCTTATCTGTATCAAAGGAAATCCCCAGGGTTGTTAATCCAAAATATCAGTGTGGATATCTGTGTCAAAATGTTAAGACCACATAGTCTTAACGTGTCCTCAGTTGGCAAGAGAAAGAGGATAAGTGATTCTTAAAGCAAAAGATATATCCTTTGCGGCAATGATGGACAGTCTAGATGATTCGGAGAGAATCACAAAATAGGTACTAGCAAAAAGCTGATTTGAACAATTCCGACTCGTAGGAAAAGCAGAAATTGCATTGGACCAAAACATGAGACGATGTGAACAAGGATAGGATGGAATTCACACTGTATGAACAGATTAAACGCACTTCATATTAGAAACCTCAGACAAACCAATAGACATGAGACAGACAGTTTTAAGGGCTTTTATCGAATTGGTTTCCTCCTTTGTAAATATTGTAGCTCGATATACCTGCATGGGCACGTAAGTTACCTGAACGGGCTAAATGAAACGAGATTCTTGACAAGAGTTTTTAATTTACTTGACTCTCATGGTATTGCCACTAAAAGTTATTGACTTGGATTTGATTTGATAAACTCGATCTGGTACCCTACAGGCCCATGCAGGTGAAGTTAGTGTTTTACTACGAGCATTCCTTTTGAGGAATCTCATTTTAGATCAGGCTTCATAGCGGCCAATGCTTCCTTCTTGGTCAATTTGTCACATTATCATCTTGAAAAAAAGATACCAATCTACCATCCAATTTCCATATATTTAACTACCGAGGGACAATAATGTGGGTATGGGAGCTGAGGTAAAACCTAGGGACATAGACGTAACGCGAAGAGCGAGAAGACAACAACTAAGGCAGCAAAACAAAAATAGCGCCCGAACATAAAAATCTTCAAATCTCTAGGTCTATGATTGAAAATGTGTGGCTAATTTATAAGGGCCAAGCTAAAAAAATGAATTATTGAAGAAGATATGGTTAGAAGACTGTACTGCTGGTAAATGCCTGAAGCTTATGATGTATATTATTGTACTACTGCAAAGTTCTACACCTACGATACACTCTATAGACCCTAGTTTAGACCAGCTTAAAAATCAAGTCACATGTATTCTAGGGCTCAGTGACTGATACTTCAACATGAATTAACCTCCAAAGATGATGCAAAAAAGGGGTGTCAGAGCCTTCAGCACACACAAGAAGGACTACGAGGAGATCTAGCCAAAGCAACCTCTAGTCAGGAAATATTTTGGACTTCGAAAATTTTGTACAGAACAGCTTTCAAGATTTGGCCCGAGAGGTGGCTCTCTTTACGGTTTCTGAGTCGCCAGTCCCAGATATTTACGCGTTAGTTTTTACCCCGTTGATGATGAGAATAGCGGCTCGTATTCGAATGGAAGCATCTAAGGAAACTTAACCATCACAGCTGCCAGCAAGAGCACAATAGCTTACTCCAGATTTATTTTAAGTACGGCGAACAAGAATTAGCGATACTGAGGTTCTATATAAGTTCGTATCTCAGAGAGATGCATGTTTCGACAACGCACATTTAGAGATTTTCCAGGTTTTGAGAGACGACTCTTCCGTGGGTTTCGGGGTTCTCCTGAAAACGAGCGCTGATAGCACTAGAAATGCCAACAAGGTTTCATTGTTAAAAATTATTTGCGCAACGGCGAAGCCTATAGTCCTAGGCTTAGTTACCAATTGAAGATAAATAGAAGATAAAAAGGGCAACGAGAGGGTAAAGAGAAATGTTTGCACAAGAGTGTCTATTCCTCTGAGACTCACGTTAAAAGCGATGCAAGTGAGAACATACCAACACGTTATTTTGATTAATATTAGAATCTGATTCCTTAACACATCTGGTGTAGGATTACTGTAGGTGTATTTGATAAAGTATCGTGTTGGGTAGAACTTATTTTCACTGGCGGTCTCAGCACTATTTAAAAATGATGCGACCTGGCTCCTACTACTGTATCGCTGCTAGGCTCATCTGCACGCTAATATAGAACAATAATTACAGGTTATATAAGATCTACAAATGCCTTACAATTTTTACCCCTATGGAAAAATATAACTACAACACAAGCTTCTATATGTGACAATGCAAAGATAATTATGTTAAACAAAGCGGACGAAATCTGGCGGCTCGCAGTTCAGTCGGATCGTAGCCCCACCTTCGTAGACCACGTCTCTAAACCCACCTGCAAAGGAATACGACTGGCTGAGCTTTTACGAAGCCTAACTAGGTGCATCCAAGGACCGAAGCCGGACTTACTAACAACTATCATTCGCGCGGTAGCCCTCCCAAGTATAATGTATGCAGCTGAGGTCATGTGGCAAGGGACTACAAGGGAAATATACAGAGGTCTAGTGCGAAATTCCATGAGAAGAAAGTGCAAAGATATCGACCAGGCCACGATGGCTGAGATCCGTGCAGCCCTGCCGGCTCGGCGTACCGCGCCAACCACCACTACAAGGCGAGAGTTTGGCATTCCGCCGGCACAAATTCTCCTAGAACGACGAATCCAGTCAGCGGCCCGCATTCGGAGACTAGAACGCAAGCACCCGTTACGCATCCGAGCACTTGAATCAATCATCAACGCCCGTCACCGTCTAGGATTACAGATGCGCGACAGAAGCAGGCTCGGGATGGATCGAATCCACGATTTCAGGGTGCAAAGGACATTTCGTCTCCTGCCGGCATCGGAACCCCTACTGTCCCTATAACCGCCTGCACCGGCACTTCAACTCCCTGACCTAGGGAAGCAGGACCTGATCGACAATTCAAGAGAGATTAGACTAGATTTTATTTTAGTCCTATCTGAGTCTATGACGGTGGAAGACTTCTATAGTCTACCTGAAAGAAACTAGCTATATTTGATTTATTTGTACATGATAACTTTGAACTATTTTCTTGTAGACAGTGAGAAGAATTCAAGAGAGTATTAGATGCCCGAAATACGACAATCATAGACTGTCACAGATCAACTTTGGAAAGCAGAGAGCATTTGTATGGATGATGGGATATTTACAATTCAACTATGGAGACCTAAATACTGCATACTAAGCTAGATATATATACAGGTTTATTACATTGTAAGTTCTTCCCTCCAAGGTCAGCTCATTTCTAGAAGATTCCAGTTGCTACTCGAAGGTTATCATTTCTAGCAGCTTCTCCGAGGTTCAGTCTCTGTCTTACTCATGCAGGGGTTTTTCTAGTTCCTCCTTCAGAGGTTCTAGTATCTTCTGTAGGGCTTTTCCGCCTGTCTAATCTCTGGTGTTTTTACGCCTCAACTTGCTAGTACTGGCTACAGGAAAATACCGGCTTTGTAGTGTTGGAATGACGCATATCACGTGATGCACTGTAACAGTACATAATAATTAGCAAGTTAGAACACAATGAAATCTTCATGCTTCTTCACTACAGACTTTGTATCCATTACATAATAATGAAAAGATAAATACGAGAAAAAGAAAATAAAATTAACCACTTTAGTGCAAACGCAAGATCTACGAATGTGAGGGCAAGTTAGAGCGAAATAAACTGGAACAAAGCAAGCCGAAAGGTTGTCACGTTGACTTCTATCTTTTCAAAGCTCTATCTGCTCATCTGACGCTCCAGCTGATATCTTCAAGATCTCGAAAGGGTTTAAGAAAAGAATCCGCTTGGCTGTGACTGCAGATAGTCTTGGTGGTACTGCTCCCTAGGAGGCTGCAGGATAGCTAATGTAATGTACTGTATGAGAGTTTCCGGGGCCCTGTGTAGCGGTAGAGGGTTCAGCGCATCGGGCTTCTGCTTGGCGGCGATTGCACGCCTCAGATAAGATCTTCCATATGGTGATAACCTGTGATTTTGTCTTTGGTGGATTAGAAAGTCGTGGCCGTAGCTCACAAGTTGTCTCGTCTTCTGGATGAGGGCCGTGACAGTGCACACATCGCGCTGGGCAGGTATGTTCAGCTGGGGCAGCGCAGGGGTTATTGTAGTCCTTCTCTGTGTGTTAGGGAGACCTACAAAGGCGACATCTTTAGGTAGAGGAACAAATGCGACTGTTGTGCCAAAGCCAGCACATTCTGTACTGCACTACCGACGAGCGTTTAGGAAGGTTTCGGGTGGCGGTGCGGCACTCAAAGAGATAGAGATACGTGAAGACGGCTATGGTCTTGAGGAAAGCGGACAATCCAGGTTATGTCTAGTCTTTCTGGATTTGTTTCTTTATCCTGAGACGCGAATACAGAGATGGGAGTAGCGCTAGCTGCTGTAGTAACAGCAGCTGTTACGGCCTCGGTCGTAGCTAGTTCGAGGCAGTATTGCATGTTTTGGTCTATCGTCCTGTGGTACCGAGAGACATTCTTAATTCTGTAGGACATCCCGGGTGAGGCGTTCTCAATGGAAGCAGGTCCGAATAGATAAACTGTTGCCAGTTTCTCGTTTACGGCATCGGCATTACCAGCGCTTGGGCCGAGAGCAAATCCTGACTTTATTGACATAGCATTTGATAGAAGTTGGCTTTGACTGCCAAGCTCAGACTTCAAGTACGTTTGTATTGCATAGCCCGATGCGGTGCTTAGAGGACTCTTGGAGGAGAGGCGAACAAATATTCTGTCGTCTGGTTTGGTGTCTTCGGTTCCTACGTGAGCTTTTAGCTTCTTTGCGTAGGGAGGCGTTTGCTGTGCGCCTCGTTTGGCGGCGCCTAAGCAGCTTTGGGAGGTGTTTAATTTTGCTTTCTTCACGGGGCTAGAATTCTCTATATTTGGGGTACCGTTAATGTATGTGTTGAAGTGCTTAGCAAGAATCAGATATTGGTTAAAACCAATATTTACAGGGCAACCGTCCAGGAGTTGTGATGGGAAACGCGACAAATATAGCGGTCACGTGAAAGAGTTAACGCGCGTACGCGATTGTATTCAACATCCCTGGTTCCATCCGAGTTCCCTTTCATCCGTGTAGACAATCTTATTCACCAGATTAGACCTCGTCAATCGTCCTCTTAATCATCCCTTGACAGGAGTAATCACTAAAAGGTTGAGTGGGAGGCAGGCAGCTCTATTGTTGAGATGAAAAAATAGATTAGCTATGGGGAGAGAATTTGTTTTATTCATTTACGTGCTAGGTACATTTCACCCATCGCACTCCTTCTAGAGCTTAAGCTCGAGTGGGGCCGGGCCAGATCAGGTTAACTTCCGTGAAGTACAGATATACCTCTTTTTTTATTTGCATCCGATTTTAATTGCGTATGCAGCTATCTAGCCATGACAAACTATCAGAGAAAAGTACAGAATAGATGATTAAACGTAAGGGAAGAGCACTAATGCCTCAGATTTCATTTGCAAGTACCACTGTGAAGTTATGGCGGCTTTTCTTCACCCCATGTCAACCCTCATCTGTGAATACCCACCCAGGGGAACGTCTTTAAAACTCTGAGTTATCCAGACATGCCTTCATCATCCATTTACTTATCTCCGCGCAAAATGTCGTCTTAGGTGTCTCCTTCCCAAGTGGAGTAGGTGCCCAGGCTACTCAGATTATACCGGAGAACACCACCAGGAGACGGATCACAACACCATCCTCCGTCGGCTTATTTTTATAGTGTCAGCTGCACTCTCGCAAGCGAAGTCTTGGCGCGTACAAAGCCCAATTCGCAAAACTCCTTGCCAAATCTCAGAATTTCACGTCCTTCGAGGTTATTTCCTTCCTTCGTATCATCTTTTCAACTTGTCCTGATCCCTCTCACGTCCAACCTAAAGAACTTTCTCCCAGATTTGTGCGCCACGCTTTGCTTCCTCCGTCGGGTATAAATATTGGCGTGGGCGTGTATTTGGTGACCGGCTGAGGCCAGAGAAAGTCAACGAGAGGTTTGGTCATTAGGATAAGGATGTACTAGGTCACACTACTAGGTTTGATGAGACTTAGGTTGGGGTCAAACTCGTGGGAGCGAAAAAGCGACGAGGAGTATTTTGAGTCATTGCCTCGTAGGCCAACTTCTTTGATATTGCGAAATTTGACTGAACTTGGCTCTGGGAGAATATTTCACTCCCAGATTCGTAGAGGACACCGCGCACAGGTGTTCAGTACTTGACCTCCCAGTAGTAGCATATTCGATGGATCGAACAGCTAGCAAAGATTCAATCCTTACGGGTCATTCGCGCTAGGATTATGGTTTATCCGAGTGACAATGCCTCTTAGGATTTTAGTACAATCCAGCGATCGCTAGTAATTTATTAGCATTGAGCAAGACAGCCTCATTATCTGATTCCTCCCTGAATATGAAAACCTACAGATTACAGAGCTATTGGAATAATAAAAAGTATTCATTCAGTGCGGGATTTTAGAGCCCCACTGATGAAGGCTATATATCATCGAGCGGCGTGTCGACAAATTTATGCCCAAAATCTATGGAATCCAAACGATGTGATAATTAAGGTTATTCCTAATCTCCCTACAGCTATAAAGTCCGAAAAGCGCCACGGAAGTTCTGTTCCTGGCCCGCTGGAGAGTCGACGTCGGGTTGGGAAAAGGCAGATAGCTTATTCATTTGAATCTATTCCCACCTCATATCAGAGCCATTGGTCATGGCTAAAGTCATTTCAAGAAGTCGATTTCTCTCGATGGAAATGGGAACCTCCTAGGACTTATGCCAAAGTGACGCGCCAGCGTACTCGTGTCCCGGCCTACCCTATTCTTTCTTTCGATACATTAAAAGAATTTGCCTCTTTCTCCAAAGTTAGACAGTTTGTCTCCAGAAATATTGATTACATTAACAAGAAATTAATAATCCCGCTAGAAACCAACACTGCCGGTACCATCGAACTTTTCTTGAAGACTGGTCACAAGCTCAAAAAAATACTCAATGAAACGATAAAACAACATATACTAAGAAATATATTAAACATAAAGGATCTTAATACAGTGAAAGAACAATTGGGGAATAAGAGATTGGAATTTGATTTCGCTGAAGCTCCTTGTTCCACTCATTATCGAGAAGTATGGAACAGTTATACAGCTTCTATTACAAAAAAAAGTAGTACGATAATTCCACCAACAGTTATTCAAATGTTAGAAGATCTATCAGGACTTTCATCCACCTCCGAAATACAAAACCTAGCTCTTTCCATTGTCAAAGCGTTTCCTCGCTGGGAAAACGGAAAGGTACCTCTTAGAATTTATCGGACTTTAGTTATGTCATGGACATTGAGCTGGAGTCAAAATACAACAGTCGCCAATTTTCTGAGCAAAGATCCATTTTTGAATTCTAAAATTGAAAAGTCTCTCTCAGATGCAGAGGCGATGGTAGCTCGGGTAGAACAGATGGGCTCCAAGCTTCAAGGTAATGAAGGCATGGATTCTAGATGTGATATTCTGGGCCTCGTTCTAGAGACGAAAACCGAGATTTTTTCTAGTCTTAAAGCTATCGAAAGTGCAGAGAATATCATGAGTCCATTCAAGATTTCAACTCAAAGTCTCGCGAAATTTCTTACAAATCTCCCTAGAAAAATGCAGAAAGCTATCCTTGAAGATTGTTCACAGGAATTATGTAAGATTATTGAAAAAAATGAAAGTATGAATATAATGAGTTTAAAAAGAAATTGGCTCTATGTGATCTCTCAAATACCAGCACTCAATCACGCTGAGTTTCTAGGCCTCTGGAATCATATGGATTCCTACGGTAGATCACTCCCTTCTAATTTCTATCCTGAGCTGTTACTCAATAGATGGGCGAGTATAGAAAAATCCGAAAATAATGCACTTGTTAGGAATACCCTAGAAACAACTATGCTCGAGACTGAGGAAGTATATGGTTCTTGGATATCTTTGATATATGCAATATATCATTCTGATCGGAAAGAAGTGCACTTCAATAAAATAGGCACCATCTTCCGTACTCTTTGTGCACGTCGGGAAATCGACTCTATTAAATACATCATGCTTAATATAAGCAAGATCAACCCCCGACTTCCAGCAGAGGTTGTAGAGTTTGTTGTTGAAGCAATGACTGATCTTGATCCTGAGACAGCCTGGAATATCGCCATGATCTCTCGTATAATGAAGCCGGGTCGGAAATATCGATCTGACAGATATCCTCGTGGTGACTATCGGACATTAAGATATTCTCGTTGTCCAAAATTTGTGACTTGGATGATAACCGAGACCAAATTACACCCTATTCATATTTGGCGTATTCTAGGAGTTCCAATTCATGCAAAATACTCTCCACGTTATAGGAACCAGCCGAAAACCACCCCACTAGATTGTCACTCTGAGGTCTTGTTCAAGAAGATGGCTACCGCCTTTGCTTTTTGTAAGAGATTACCTCCAAGAGTTGCCCTACGAAATACTATGCAGTGTTGGCATCATCTAAGACACAATAAAATACCAGTAGATAAGACGATGGCAAAGGCTTTAGTTCATAGTGGCCTTGTGCGATATATTGAAAACAATTCGTGGGTCCCACGTGAAAGAATAGTCTGGCTACTTCCAATAGTGGCGAATGCTGAGGGACTTGAGGTTGCACAACAAGTGGAGCAAGCGGTCAATGCTTGGAATGCAGAGATAACCAATAAAAAAATGAAAATTAATAGAGAGCTTAATGTTCTACGGACTGGAATAATTGATTAGTGGTGCAAAACAAAAATTCTTGAAATAACAATATTCAACTAAAGCTTGAAACTACCAGCCCCATTATGTTTGCTTTGATAGTAAGTTCACCAGTAGTTCAAAATTCAATACAATTTAATACTTACTAATGAAGGTGCTCGAATATATTGTATCTTTTTTGAAACTTCCGTGCTATAAATTTCCCTGGTTAATTTGTAGTTGCAACCCCGAAACTAACTCCTCATTGACCTCTTTATAATAATAAAATAGATCTATAGAGAATTATTGAAGAGATATTTATAAGATAATATGTTTCAACAAGTTCTGCTGGACTAATTCAAGAGCTCCAATATTATTCTCCATCATATCCAAGTCCAATAATGTTCAATTGTAAATTTAGGTTTGGATTTTTTTGAATAAATTTTATGTATGGATTTATTGAAGCGCGACCGACAAACGTTATTTCATCATGGATATTTTCGCTATCCACAATATCCAACTGTCGGCGGAACATAGGAAAATATTTGATCCGTTGGCTAACGTAAGCTAGATGCGCACGCGTACTATTAGTTAGATGTTGGCATTGTCACCCAGAACAGAATAACAATGAATCTATATACATCCAGTTGTCCTTGTAGCTACTCATCAAGTACGTGATACACAGTCCATCCAACACTGATCAGTGGTTGCATCGCTAGATAAGTCCTGCCTAGCAATCATAGACCAGCAAGTTCGGAAGAGACACTCCTGCGATTGATCCAGTTCGTCTCGCTCGCCAGAGAAGTGTGCTCTTTATGGTTGTCACGATTGAATCCATTCTGTCCCTATCCAACGATTGAATGTCCTTCGCGTGCAGACTTCCACGTCCGTTACAATTTGCGTCCTAAACGCATAGTCAACTGAGATCTCTTCATTGAGCCTTTCGAATACTACAATTAACCAACTACCAACGATCTCGTCCTCACTACCACGACCTTACTCTTACCAACGATCGATCGTTAGAATACAAGCAAGATGACTGATTATTAATTCATTTTATTGTCCTGTCTGAGTCTATGACTATGTAGGACATGCAGGTCCTCTCTGCCTACAGGCCAAGGATACCTATACCAGTAGTATATCCCCTCCTATGCCTCCCATACAGCTCCTCTCAAACAGTACTACCCCTCACAAGTCCTCATTCGATGATACACTAAGAGGAGCCCTTAGCCCTTCATTATCTCCCCTCTCCAGCCAACGAAACGAGGGCCATTTGTGGGTGTATGGCAGCCGTGAAAAGTCGCATAAACCACTGGGTGCGGGGCTCTTCTAATACCGACATTAGGAATAAATCTGAAGACATATTTCCCCTTCTGAAGCGTTCGAAGAGGCCGGCCAGCTGGACACTGCAGACTTGTGGGTACCTCGGAGAATTCACACTCTGCCTTTCTAGCCTCCTTCCACCTCCTTCCAACTCCTTCCCGAAGGTCGTGCTGAAATGTCAGAAAAGTCTTGACAGAGCGTGATTGCTGTATAGTAGCTTAGCCCAACTTCTTTTGTACCGTCCAGGGCGCTGGGGAGTGCAGTTGACTCATCGACAAAAGAAGCCCTGGCTAATTAGCCGAAATCTTGGTCTTGGCGCCCACACAAATTCCAAAGTTGAAAACCCCTCGAAAATGTCAGTCCCAGCATGGTCTTCAGAGACCTCTTTCCCCTCTCGCTCCACATCTCAGCCGTCTGTTCTTCCTCAAGATGTATAACCCCATTAGAGCAGCAGTCCCCCATAAACCATGACCCAAACTTTGTATTTTTCGACTTGATGTCCTCCTTGCGGGTATAAATAGCGTCGTAAATATGTAGAGAGTGATGGCCGGTAATTATTGAGGCAAGCTCCTGTTTGCAATTGGGGTGACGCCTTTATCGGTCAGCGAGACGAGATGATGTGTGGTTAGAGATGGGTTGAGGACTCAGAAGATAAAAGTGAGTGCTGCATGGTTGAGAAGTTGTCAAATGGAGATATGTATGTGTTTGTTTTCGACTTCGATTTGGATGCGATTCTTCTTGGTTATCCCAGATATGCAGAGCATACTGTTGTGGTTATGAGCTATGCGGAATTCACATTGCGGAGTGATCAGGAGTGGATGATGTTATAATTTGTGGTTGACAGTGAGTAGCCTCATACAATACTATGCTGTAGGTATATGGACAGAAAGTATAAGACTAAACCTGTGTCCATTTATTGTGGGTACATCTATGAAACTATATACATGCTCGCCTAACCAGTACACTAGTGATGTATGCTGTGGCCTTGAGCCACACGCGATGCCCTAGCCTCGACTACCTCGTTGTCTCAGATCATAACACATACTGAGCGATTACACCGGCACCACTGGAAGGTGAAGAATTCGTCTTTGCCGGCGCAAGATGACTGATAATAAGTCTACCTAAATTTCCGAGTAAATCTTTCCCGAGATCCCTTTCACAGTTCAAGTACGGAAGAGGGAAAGTTGATGGCATGTTTAACTAAAGCATCTTATTGATCTAGAATTTTGGTACAAACCAGCTGACAGGAAATCCACAGTGGAGCACCTCCTCACATCAATTGCCCGTGCCACTGTGGGTTACAAGAACTACGATGACGGCGATACCATTCAGGTTTTTCAAGAGGACTTTGAAGGTTAGATCATGGACATGTTCGACAGACTACCCTCAGAAGCACGCAATTATGTCCGTGACTTTATACGTGCCAAAGGCGTATATACTAGAATAAAGCGTGGCAAGGTGTCCCAGCAGCTTTTTAAGTTGTTTGAGCTTGACTCCGACAACTTGCCGAGTGGAATGATGATCTTCTCAGAAAGACTAAGATCATCAACCTCAAGTCAAAAGCATACAGGAAGCGACAAGAATTGCTGTCCCAAGGTTTCCCATCTAAGCAGGAAACATCGCAAATACAAACGCTACAGTACAAAACAGCACCTCAAATTCAGTCGCTGCTCTCATTTGAATCTACTCCTGTCCCTAGTCAACTGCAAAAATCTATGCCCCGTACTTTTTTGTCTCCCATCAACCAACAATTAACTCTACCACTCCCGGGACTTGCTTCATCTCAAGACCGTGCAGTATTAGGGCCCCTTGGGTTGGATGGTGCAGTGGTACGCCATCCGGGCCGTTCTCCCAAGTAGATACTGGGTAGCTTGAACACCTACCCCATTCGAGACAGGAGAATAGAATAGAATAGAATAGAATAGAATAGAATTAAATTTAAGTCCCTACTGAGTCTATGACTATGAAGGACTGCTAAAAGTAGACATTAAACCACCAAAATTCTCTTGTTTTGATAAATACTGTTTTTTCGATCTTTTCCAATAGACATTGAGGGTTCAACCCAAAAGATTGTTCCGTACCAGGGAGTCGAACCTTGCGCTACCTCGGTTTCATGAGAGGCGGAAATGTTACCGATACACCAGTACGGATAACGAGACAGGAGAAAGCTGGTTCGAATCCAGTAAAACCCACAAACCACACTTTCTCGCATTGAAAGTGTATATGTGGGATGATGAAAGCACACTCGGATAACCATAGCTTTTTCACGCTTTTCCCTGTGGTGAGTATGCACGGGAGAGGTTATACGCCGTAAGGGTTAATCTCGAGTGGTATCTGCAAATGAAATCTGAGTGTGAGTCTTCTAAACGTCAAATTGAGTCATCCTACTTAAAGTACATATCTTCCGATAAAAACCTGCATGGGCCTCAAGGCGCCAAATCAGGATAATGAATTATAATTATTATTATTATTATTGAATTGAATTGAATTAGTCTCGTTTAACGTCCTATGCGGTATCTATATACAGAACCATGAAGACGGTAAGCCGCTTTGGTAAGGGAAAAAGCTTTCAACAAACAAAACCCGATGTCCTGCCACTTTGAACCGACCCGGCTTTATGCTGAGGACGTTCCTTTCAACCGCAATTATGTAAACTTTCCTCGAAATTCGTTAACTCCCCCTTCAATCAGACTAACGTTATGAAAAATTAAAAAGAGAAGGCACCTCCTCACTCGGCGTTGGTCTTCGAAGTGTTCGAAGAGTTGGCCCCGATGGTGGTGCTGTCGTGGCGGGGATTGTTGGTGCCGCTGGGGCTTCGACTACCTTGCGTGGTCGTCCCGGCCCTCTTTTGAGTACTTCAGCCTTTTTACTGGTGACCAAAGTGAATCCTTGATCATCAGTCATTTCGACTGTTCGCATTGGCGCCACCGTAGGCTTCTCGTTCCATATTTCCGCCGTCCTCGATAATAGCTCCATCCGAGCCTTCTCCACACTTCCCTTGTAGACCTGGTAGGTCCGACACGCTGCTTTCTGCCACGAACGGTGCTCCTTGCCGCAGTTAGCACAAGAAACCCTTTTCCTCGGACAGTCCCGAGTTTGGTGAGCGCCAGCGCACTCACCGCACCTGGCTGCCTTTCCACACGACGCCTGTGTGTGTCCCCACTGGCTGCAGTTGTAACACTGCTTTGGCTGTGACCGTGGTGACCACACCTGCGCGGTGTAGAGCATGGCGTTCATCACAAGGCCGTTTCGAACCACTTCCGTCTGCATTGCCTCCGATGGGAGGCTTACCACTATTGATCCACGAGTGCGGCCATTTTTCTTTGACCGCTGGTGTTCCTTTCCGTCGTGTAACCACCTTATACGGCTTATCACTAAGCCTGGAATCCGTGCCTTTGTTGCCGTCTCTATCTCCCTGATGATAGCAAAATTATTGGCATCTCTGCCCCCTTCAATTCGTGTCCGCAATGGGACACCGTCTACCTCGACTGGAAAATCTTGCCGTAGAATTTTGAAGTCCGTTGGTTGTCGCATATTTAGCGCCACGTCTCTCTGGGACGCCGACTGGACGAACACCTCAGTGTCGTTGCTTCGCATTTGGCGAATCGCGTATGCGCCTTTAATGTGTTGTTGTGCCTTTGTAAGCAGCTCTTGTGGCTGCAAGTTTTGTGCGCCGTCAATTCTTATTCTGACCGCCGTTTTCGCCATTTGCGGAGCTA